GGCACTAATGGCTGGCACTGCAGCCAACCAGCATGGAGCCGCATGCATCCACACGATGTTCTCACCTTCCAAAAGAGGGTGCTGTACCCAAACTGCCTTTTGAGAACAGTTCTGGGCCTGGGCTGAGCTTCCGAGCCATACTTGGGAACTTTCTGGGAGGTGCTAACTGATTTGGATATAGAAAGAATGCAGAAGGATATATTTAATGCTGTGCTTTATTCACTGAATGATGAACCTGAGAGAAATTTAGGCATAGACGAAGCCTACAGAAGCATCATATAGTTGTTTTTTGCCAAGACCATTAACCTCTGAAGCACATAAATTGCAAATTTCCAGGAAGCCTCTAGTAAATGTGCAACCTCTGGAAGGCACTGCCAGCACTTGTCAAGCCCTACAAACCATTACAAAACCACAACTGTGAGGGGAAAAAACAAAACAGCAAAACATCACATCAACGGTCTCTACCAAAAAGCATCTGTAGCCCAGAAAGCCCTGCACAGTTTCAGATAGAGAGCATATAAACCTAAGCCCTTGCAAAGGGGCACTGCTTTACTACCAGCTTTCAAACAGGTTGTTATGCACAGCAGTGCACCATGTCAGTGAACAGTAACCATGTGTCCCCCTAGCCTAAGCAAAATTTTTTTATTGTTTTAACTACAGAAAGAATAGGTGTCTTTCAAGGCTGAGATTGCCTGTAGAGACACCTAAGTTTGTCCTTGCTCTGCCACCAAATTGAGGGAAAGTTAAAGCCAAAATACTCATTTGTGAACTGGCTCCTCCTCACTTTGCAGTAGCACAGCTGGGAAACCATGAGGTGTGTGCTGCTGCTAGCTGTCAGGTATATTTACACACACTACATATACATAGATATACTCACACACACTTATACACATACATATACACACACATCTATATCTATGCTTTGGGGCTGGCACCTGATGTGGCTGCCTGAAAGAACTCTGATGGGACAGCAGTTGAGAGCTCTCTGTGAAAGTGCTGTCTTGGCCAGTTGAGGGCATTGCCTGCTTTGAGAAGAAGGAAACGTTTGCAGACAGAAAAGTCAGCCTTCTGCCTCGGGTGTGCTAAGTTTCTCCCCTACAGGTGAGATGTGACTTGTGCATGTTGCTGACTTTCTAGTGAGATTTCTCTCTCTTTCAGAAAAGTTCAACAGGCAGTAACGGGAACTGTTTGTGGTTGATCCCTGGGCATGAGTCATGGAGATTTTCAGCTTCCTTCCAGTACAGACATCAGAAACCAAACAATAACTCCTGGACGGGCAAGGCAGCATAGGGCCAAGGACTGGCATGCCTTCCACAGGGCTGGTCCCCTCCCAGGCTTCCCTTATCCTTCTGGAAATAGGAGTTTGAGGCAAAGGAGTAATTTGCTTGGGATTTCCTCAAGATAGCTACCTAGAGACTTTTGTCTTGAGATTCCCTATCTTGAGAGGATGCGCTAGTATAACCATGGCTTTAGACTGACGAATACAATTTCGATGACAGTTGGGGTTCTGTGAACAGATTCTCACATTAGCTTCACTAACATCCCCAAACCTATTTCCCTTCTGCTAGCCTTCTTTGTGTCTGTTTACATCTACTTGCAGTTTTGATAGTTTCATCTGAAATATAGGTAATTAAAGCTGAAGCAGTTACATTTCATGGAAACAGGGCAGGCAAATCATGGGGTTTTTTTCCATTGCTAACTGAGCATTAGCTATGTATATCCAGTTTGAAAAAGTAATACTATGAACTGAAGACATGGGTTCAGCTGTGTCATAAACTGCCCACCTATTTTTTATGCCAAGTTATCACAAACTGCGTGTATATGTTTGTTGCAGGCAAATTGTATTTCAAAGTAATCAGGCACTGTTTTTCCGTACTTTGGGTATCTTTGCTGTACACCAGAGCACTGGAAAGGAAAACCTAGGTTACTGTTAAAAAGTTAAAAAGGGCGGGAAATTTTGGTGGTCAGTCTTTAAACAGTTACTATTACCCTGAATATAATGCAGAAAAGTCTGTAATTTTCTCAGTATTTTAAAGCATCTCACCCTTGTGAGGCATTTGTGAGATACCCTTGGGGTGAAAGCCCCGGTAATTCCAACAGAAGAACTTAGGTAGGTGGCCTCTGCAGAAACTATGAGAATACCCGCATGGCATAGTCAAATCAGCAAACTGAAAAAGAGAGAGTGAACTGAAAAAGAGAGAGAGTTTCTGTTTTGGATGGCAATTTTCAGATGTGTGTGTCTTTAAGTTTGGTAGCGCCAGCGAATTTGCAATGGGTGATTGTCTCTCTTATTGGCTATGGGTGGAAGCTGCCCTAGCTGTAGGAGGAGCTCCAAAGTTTAAAAACCCAAGGGAGCTTGTGAGTATTTAGAGAGGCTGAGTCAAAGCCAGAAGGTAAGTATTAGCTTTTCAAAATTCCTTCTTCTTAAAATATTGGAGCTACTGTTTATAGTGGAGCTACCTCCACATATATTAGGCCCTCTACTGAGGTACTGAAACTCCTCTGCTGTCTTTAGTTCCTTTGCAAGGTAGGTCAAGCATGACTTGATTGTTATTCACTATTTGGAAGTTGCAGGAGAGAGAAAGGAGGAAGAAATAAGCTTTTTAAAATTAAGAAATGAATCCTGTAGTGTAGCTCAGACCTGAGAAGGGCAGGCTGCAAACCACTGAGGGAGGGGAGGTGTGGGAAAGTAGAAGTGAGTACGAGAGTGGAATGAAAGCCCAGAATCCAAGAGTGCTTTCTTCTGGGTCTGAGCATGGAAGCCGGCCCTTTTGGTATGCTGTACTCTGCTCTCAACTCTAGCATTAAAGGGCCCTTTACACTGAAATGTGGGTAATGCTGTTCTTGAAAGTCCATCCTTTGCTGAATGACTCTTACATAACAGAGAAGCTTCAGAGAAGTTCAGGAAAAGCATGTCATTAAAGCTCACTAGGAAATAGGATGGAAATACGGAGTTTAGAGAGAAGCAGTATAAACACTTGTAGGTAGACACATTTGTTTCCATTCAAACCGGAAGTAACACTAATTTCTGGGTTTGCACTGGAGCTGTGATGCTGTGAGCGTGACTGCAGCCAGGCAACATGAAAGGCCCTCTTGTTTGCCTCCGAGCCCCAGGCTGCCTTTGCAGATGGGCACGTGGATGGGCACTGAGCTGGATCTGCCCTCCCCTGGGAATCTCAGGTGGTACCAGGCACACAGGCAGGGGCAACGGAACTGAGCTATCAGGGCTCCAGACTCAGGCACCTACATACAGGTGTCCATATGGGAGCTAGATGTGCCAGGTCCCTTTATAGTCCATGGAGATATTCGGTGGATCTAGAGATGGAGAAGACTACCAGAACCAAGTCTTTCTCTCTATCAGAAGCTCAGGACAAACAAAATCCACTTATGGCTGATGGGGTTATGCTTCATTTTAAAAAACAGAACTGATGACAGATTTTGATTCTCCATTTACCATTATTCTTGTCCCATAACTTAATGCCATATAGAATTTCTTGTCCATGTAAAATGATTCCTAAAGCTTTTCAGTCCCTCAGCTTTTGTTATGTAAACAATGCATGACTTTCCAAGAGGATTACATTTCATATATTTAGTGTTGCAGAATCTTTTCCTCCAACTAGGAAAGCCAAAGTCTTATTTGCTATAAGTTTCTGCACATTACAAGGTGGGGCAATATGTGTTGAAATGATATGGATGCGATGTGTTTGAAAAATATGATAATGTACGAGGCAGTATTAGCTGTTGTGAACTATGTAGATAAGCTACGCTCATACAGTAAAGACTATTCACACAACATATGCAGAATCTAATACAACCACCATCTTACAGGCAAAACACTCTAATTATCTGCATTATAGAACTGGTGGTGATAATTTCACTTTCATATATATTTGGATTATATTGTCTACATTGCCAAAAATATCCTTGGTTATCATATTAACATGACTTGATTCTTGTCAAAATTACTGAAGGGAGAATTCCCAATCTGATTATTCTTTAAAATCAAGTTTTTGCATAGTAGGTTTTATATATTCTTTGTTTTAAATACACTTAAAGCACTGTAAAATGAACAAACCACATCACTAGAGCACACGGAATCTAATTTGAGTGGGAAATGCAATGTGGCTGGAATCATGACAGTGCAACAGGCTCAGCACTGCCAGCTTTGGCTTTTAGCTCTAAGAAAATTGGGATTGTTTGAAGTATGTATATATATATATATATATATATATACATAAATATGTATATATTTATATTTTTTTCAGTTGGGCACTCTACTCATTGGCTTCTGAGGATGCCAATCATGTCATTTAGGACATGATTAGGAGACTTATTTTTAAGCTTTTTTCCCCAGTCCTGAGCGTACGATAGCAACGTCTTGGTGGAGGGGGAATGCTAGGCCCATTTTTTAGTAACAGGCCTGCACGCCTGCCATTGCACATGGCATAGGGAGAGGCGTGCTGCGATGGCAAGCTTCGGAGAGCCTCCCTGCAAGGGCCCGCCGATGTGCCTGGGCACGTGCAGGGCTCCCGCAGTGCTGGGGACACTTGCAGAGGTCGCCTGAAACCGTGTGGCCAGCTTCCAGGTCTGGTTTTAAGGGAGGCTTCAAGGCTGCCCTTAAGCACGCGCTGTAGACAGTCAATAGGACTGCCAAAGCAGCTCAGCCTGTTTCAAGGAATAAAAGGGAAGATTAAAAATGTGTTTGTTCCTCCTTGAGGAAAGAACTGGGTGACCGCTGAAGCTGCACAATGCACTCCACTATCTGCCACGCAGAACTAGGCAAATTTCAGCCTAGCACTGAGGGTGATTGCAAGGAGGGTAACTGAAATAACTTTCCTGCGTGACTTTGTATAATTGTCTTAAAATGCAGCAGGGTTCCGCCTGTAGTTCTGCACTCCTATTGCTTGTTTAAACATGTGTGTGTGTTTGCTTGTAACCATAAAAAAGCTTCTTACCAGAACTGGGAAAGACGCTACAGATCTGCATCTCTTTCCTTTCCCAGCACGGGCTGTGTGGTGTCACTGCTCCATCTCTCGCGTTCTCTTGTAATCCGGCTGAAGTGCAATTCCAACAGGCCAAGTGAGAATAGAAGGTTCCCTCTCCCCTTCCCCCCACCCCCCCCAAAATAACGGCATTTACACCAGCTCTAGAAGACGCTCTTTTCTGCTTAGTATTTTTCAGGGAACCAGGAACTTGGAAGCACGTCTGCGAAGCCCAAGCTCATCTACTTCAGTGGAGCCGGTCCGATGGCTGCTGGCAGCAGCCGGGGTGGAGGTTAGTCAGTGCCGAACACGCTGCTCCGGACTGATGTTCTCCCCGGCCTCCGCAAGGAACAACTTAACATTCACACAGAGGAAAAATGGCTGCAAGATGCTGGCTAGATTCATTTGGCTAGTAGAACTGGCCGGCATGTTTGGCACTACCCTGTGTAATGACTAAAGTTTGGGAAACAAACTCCGTGGAGGAGACTTCTTTTAAAGGCTCCTAAATACTGAGCTTGCCAGCTGTGCAGAACCACCGTAACTCATTTAGCTCACAGTTACGCTGTGTATAAGGGAAAGGAGGTTGTTGACGTACAGGTTCTGGGGGGTGGGGGGGTGTTGAAAATAGCTGATTTGGCTTGTGCTTCCCTTTGGCACTGTCTTCTTCCTGCAGATGCCTGTACCCTGTTTCTACCTGCATATAGGTTATCTGTGAATCAGTGCACTGAGGTGGAAGTGGCCAGGCCCCCTGCTTCTCCTCAGCTGTGATCCTCGGGGCATCTGCAGCCAAACGGTGCTGCTGAAGAGCCCGCTCATTCTCTTTAGTTTTGCTGGGCTGTTTTTCTCGGGGTTGTGCAGGCCCTTACAGACAAAACTTTGCAATAAAGCCATGCAACATTTTTCTGTCGTTTTCCAGTTTGAGGAAATTTTTCTGGATACAAGAGAGCAGTATGCAAAGTTAATCAAAGGTAAGAATCTAAGGGCTGAAGCCTTGCCCATCACGGTTGCTCCAGTTTAGCTAAATCTGGGGTTAAAATTACTTTATTTAAACCAGTGCAAACCTCCAGGTGTTTACGATTAACCCAGCTTGCACCTTGTAGCGGTTGTCTTCATTTGAAAATGGCTGACGTCCTGGTCTTGAGCACCCTGCTCTCTGTGGTGCCAAATAACTCCTATGAGCTAGGAGCCATAGCTTTTGTGACTATGTCTGTAGGAGGAAAGTCAACAGGGCCAGGGAACACTCCTATTTAGTGCAACTTCATTATCCGTGCCATGGAATCGTTAGCACGGTCCCTGGCACACCTTGGGTCCACGGCAAACAGCACTCTCCCAAGCAATTCCTAGGCACGATTTGGGAGCTGGCCTTGGCAGGGGCCGTTTCCAAGATGTCGTTTAGACGTGGCCACCATGCTCTCTAGGCAAAGAGCGTAGGCTAGAGCGAACGAGGCCAGCGTGTGCCAGGAGCCTGACGCGTTGCTGAGTTCACTGCTGCAGATGTACGTACTCCGTTGCCATCAGTGGGACTAAAGGATCCTGAGCCTCACAGAGATAAGCCTCTGAATTAATGGCCTGTGTCCCAGTAACACCAACATTCCCAGGAAAGTCAGTTCTCCATTGTGTCAGGTGCTGTTTGAACACGCCAGTGACGGTCCTTCTCTTTATGTTGCAAACACTTA